AATCCTGCTCAGAACCTCAACCCATAAGAAAATCTACTCAATGTCTGATACCTCTCTTGCTCTGTTCCTCAATCATGTGATCCTTTCTCTTTTCCTGAATTCTTTGACATGTACTATTTCCCCTCTTCTAACTCTCATACCCTTCAGGGTCTTCTTTCCGAAATAGATCCCTCCTTAAAGAATTTATTAGGGATACTGTCTTCCAGTCTATTCAGCTTCCTCTCTACTCCCCAATTTAGGTTATACATATCTGATGAAGAGAGGGAAAGTGTGGGGAATCAGATCACAGTGGATCAGACAATCTAGTGAAAAGACAAGACACATAGTAACAAGACTGTAATAGGTGGAGAAATTTGGGGAAATGAGGGAGATTTGGATAACCCACACATATTTATTTTGGCTTGTGTAGGATCTATGACATTCTGTCTTTTGACACACCTAGTTGGAAACAGAACTCTGGGTCTTTTCCTCTCTTCCTTTCCTCACTAAATGCCCCCAAATGAGCCAATAGCTAGCTCTCAATTCTCTACTTAACTGTACCTTCCTGTTTTTTTCCGTACAAGGAATATATCCTTTTGCCCCACCCAGGAAGCTATGAGCCTAAGTGTTCTGCTCTAGGATATCTGCCTTTTTATAACTGCCTCTTTCTCTACCCCAAAGCCTTCTCTTCATGGACAAAGTTGTCAACAAATGTCCACTATATTTCTGTTCCCCCACCCCAGAGAATTTGCTTCCTTTCAGTTCCTTTGCAGGAAAGAAAAATCCAAATGTGCCTAAGGGAATTTCCCACTTGCATGATATACCAAATATCTCATTCTTGGGGAAATTGTCCTTCTTTTCTTTCATGAGAGAATACACTCTCTAAATCAATGTCTCATATCCCTAAGATAATTTCCCAGCCCCCTAAGAAATGCCCTCTTCACAATGAGCAAGAATCCCAAGAAGATCGATGTCAGCCCCATAGCAGTGACTGCCTCATAAAGGTGGACCTTCTTGCATTGGGTGAATTGCAGTAAGAATCAAAAGGTGGTCCCACAGACAGAACAGTGACAGGGTTTCTCCCCTCTGTGGATGCATTGGTGATAAACCAGGGCTGAGCTCTGAGTGACACTAGTGAGCCTTGTAACACTAGGGGCAGCAGTATGGCTTCTTACTTGTGTGGACTCTCCCTTTGTCGTTGTTTTTGCTTGTCCTTCGTTCTCAAATGGTGGAGAACAATAGGCAGAGCAATAGTAGGAGACACGCCCACAATCCCTGCACTTGAAGGGCTTCTCACCAGTGCATGTCCCTTGGTGCTCAATCAACATGGAGCTCTGGCTAAAGGCCTTCCTACAAGTTCGCACACTTATAAGATTTCTCACCCACGTGGCTTTGACAGTGCTGCACCAGATGGGAGCTCTCACAAACCCCTTCCCAAAGGTCCTACGTTTGTACGGCCAGATAGCCAGGGGGCTCTGCTGGCACTGGATCAGGTGAGTGAGCAGCTGTCCTGAAGCTCTTTCCACACACAAAGCACCTGAAAGGCCTATCACCTTTATAAGTCAGGCAATGGGTCATTAGTTGAGCACTCAGTAAAATCCTTGGCACATAATCCAGAGGGGTAGGGTTTCCCTGGGCTCCCCATAGGGTGTTCCAAACCCTCAGAGGACTTGTAAGGCCTCTCCAAGCACTTGGAGCCATTGCAGTATATTGCCAGCAGCCCTACCTCATTGGGGTACATGGAGGAATCTAGATGGGATTTCCCCAGAGGATGTGTTTCTTAATGTGGGCCATTGGGATCTGGGTCTTTAGGATTGAGGTTCCCTTTTGGAGACAAGGAGTGATTGGGTCTTTGAGGAACTGATGGACCATCCTCAACCCTACAACTCTCAGACCCTTGAGGAAGCTGCTGTGATTCCCCTGGCTTGCAGGATTTCTCAGGTTTATGAATGAACTGATGATGGAGAAGGGTAGAGTTCAGGCTGAATGATTTCCCACATTTAGGACACTCACAGGGCCTTTCACCAATGTGAGTGATCTGGTGCTGGATCAGAGTAAAGCTTAGACTAAAGCTCTTGACACATTCAGTGTATTTGTAGGGTTTCTCCCGTGTTTTGGTCCTGTGGTGCTGAATCAAGGTAGAATTCTCACAAAAGCTTTTTACCAGTCAGGACACTTGTAGGGCCGTTTGTCAGTATGGGTATGCTGGTGATTGATCAGGTTAGAAGTTCGGTTGAAGGACTTTCCCACAGTCCTCACACTTGTAGGGTTTCCCATTTGTGTGGATGATCTGGTGTTGGATCAAGGTATAGCTAAGGCTGAAGGTCTTCTCATATTCCACACACTTGTAGGGCCGTTCACCTGTATGAGTTAGTTGGTGTTGGACCAGATTGGAGAGTCTGCTAAAGGTTTTGGGGCAGTGCTGACACTTATAGGGTTTTTCATCTGTGTAGGTCCTCTGGTGCTGGACGAGTGTAGAGCTACTACTGAAGGTTTTGAAGCATTTTGTGTACTTGTAGGGCTTTTTACCTGTGTGTGTGTGTGCTGCACTAGAGTGGACATCTGCCGGAAACTTTTTCCACATTCTGGACAGATATTGGGCTTCTTGATGGAATGAGATGCCTGGTGAACCCCTGTCAGTGGCTAAGGATTTTCCCACAGACGTTGCAGATGTAGGGCCAGTGTGGAGGTGGGCAGGAGGAGCCGAGTGAGGGGTAAGACTGGTGGGACCCATTGCCACTCATCAGAGCAAGGATTTAGGGTCTCAGAAGGCTGTTCAAAGAATTCTGTAGTCAAGGGACTATGATTCACTTCCTCTGGGATGTCAGTCTGCAAGAAAATGTAAGTTAAGACTTTGTACTGGAATATAAGGCTTTGGACCTCTAAGATCTGAATAAAGGTGGGAAAACAACTGAATTGAGTAAACAGAGCAGGGATGGGAAAAATTATCAGTTAGAAGATAAGACCTGAATTATTATGCTTTGAAATATCAAAGCTACGAAAAGATCTAAGCAGTTGGAATTAGCAGATAGTATACTGGAGACTGGGAGTGAACTGAAGTTCCAAAATGAACCTTCCCAAGCCATTAAACTTAGCAAGTTCTCATTTTAGTTACAAGAATGCTGGCTAGACCCCCTGAAGCACTCTTTCTGAGCTAGTCAGAGTAGAAGCGCATGATGATCCAAAGCTATCTGTCCCCTCTCCTATCTCCCTCAATGTTCCTGTTTCCTATAACCTTCTCCCAAGCCCAGAACCCACCCCCCACATCCATATACATTGGGGCACTCAATGACCCAGGAGAGCTAGAGCTCAGAGGGAAGAAAGCAAGGATGACAGTAACTGCTTGGAAAAGGGGGAGTGGGGTATGTGGAGGGAGGGAGTCCTGGAGCTGAGCTTTAGGATCCCTGGTTTTGAGTTGCCAATTCAGGTTGGGAACCCAGAACCCAGTTGTGCAAAGCAAACAGGAACCCTCCACTATACAGAGGGGGAGAAGGGGTAGGATGGCCTGGAACAGGAAGTTGTCATTTGTCCCATCCAAGCCTCTCTAGGATCCCACCATGATAGAACCTCTGTGGTTTTAACCTTCAATTTGGAGAAGTGAGGGCTGAAACTGAGATGCAGCTGGTCTGGGAAGGATGATCAGGGATGTGTTCCTGTTCTCATTTACTATCCCTTCCAGCACCTAGCGCAACTCTATGCAAAATAGTAGGAGCCCACTAAAGCCTTCAAGGGGTGGAGAAATATTTGAGACTGAAAGGAATTGTTTTTATAGATTTTCCACCTCATCTACATTCCAGGAACCCTGTTATACACCATTACCTATTGGACATCTGTCCCAACTATCAAACACCTTACCATTCACTCTAATGCTCTATACCTATACTAGGGAAGTACAGAGAGGCAAGGTGGTATAGTGTAAATGACATTCATCTGGCAGTCAAAATAGACTTGGATTCTAGTGCTGGCTCTGCGATTGTTTGATTTTGGGGAAGTCGCATGGTCTCTTGGGGCCTCAGTTTCCACATCTATAAAATGATGGACTTGGCCAGCTACCAACATTCTCCCACTTCAATTCTAGTCCCTACCATACATATTACCAATTAGTATCGCATATTGGGGAGAGGTTGAAATGGAGGAAATGCTCCTGGACGAACCCAGCTACAGAAGGATGCAGGGAAACGTCTTTAAGTCCTGATGCCAATCTGACACCACTGTAAACCATTCCAGCTAAAAATCACCCTCCCCTCCTAGCACATTCCAGGCACCACCCCAGCTGCTGGGAACCTCACAGCAACCTCACAGGGCACTCGCAAGTGCAGGAGGAAAAACCAAATCACTCTTCCCTTCCTTTCCATTCGCGCCTACTCCCTTCCTGCTCGATCCTTTCCTCTTTCTTCCCAATTCCACTACTAGCCCGGCTTTTTTCATTCACATTCGTCCCGCCCACAAGCTCTCCGACTCTCATTGAATGGCTGCGCAAAGCAGAGGTTCGGACAGACCAAGGAGAAACAGGAGGCGGGGTTTCTTAAGCAGTCGCCAAGGAAATAGATTGAGCACCCCTAATGCCCCGCCCATCCGCCTCTGTGAGCAGCTTGTGATTGGTTTAGCCCAGCTTTGCGCCGCGTCCTCCGAGCGACTCCCCTGTCCCCAAGACTGTGATTGACAGCATGACCACATTGTTCAATTTCCCTCCTCCCCAGCCTTCCCTTTTCGCTGGCTCCAGAAACAAGCTCTGATTGGCTGTTAGGAGCTCGAGCCACATCCTCCTTGTACGTGTTCCATGCCTGGACCCAGAGCGCCCAGGCAGGTCTCTTAGGTGGGTAGTCTTGGGGGCGCGCGCGCCCATTCGAAGCTGCGTGAACCCCTTGGGCGGATCCCTCCAGCCCGCTCCAGAAGCTAGGTGCCCCGCCCCACTTCCCTTTTCCCTTACCGGCCTCCGATAGGATAAAGGGAACCGAGTAGGTGGGGACTTGGGGAGGACAGGCCTTCGATTGGGTGAAAGGGGGATGGGCGTGGCCAGAGGGGGTGGGGAAGGAGCTGGCCCTGTGGTGGCGGCTGCTGTGGGTAAGTGAGTGGGTGACCGCAGGTAAACCTTCCCCCCCCACGTCCACCTCTTAACTGAGGATCTGGGGATGTCAGGAATTTAACACCCCGGGGAGAGCGCAGGAATCAGCGGGGAGGGCGGGGGGTGGGCCCCCGATGGGACGGGACCGCGACCCCTCCCCCCCAACCGCCCCCCCCCCGCCGTGTGCGCGCCCATCCGCCTCGCGCCCGCCCCCCGCCCCAGTTCTGGCCCCGTGCCCTGGCCCCCTCTTTCTCATTTTCCCTGCCTCCTCAGCCCTGACCCCGGGCCGCCATGGCCGAACCCCGGAAGGAGGAGGAGGAGGAGGACGAGGAGGGGGGCACTGAGGGTCGCCCTGAGCCAGGGAAGGCGGAGCCCCCCAACCCCGTGGCCTCAGTGGTGGCCAAAAACCTGGCACTGCTCAAAGCCCGCTCCTTCGACGTGACTTTCGAGGTGGGGGATGAATACGAGATCATCGAGACCATCGGTACCGGAGCCTACGGGGTGGTCTCCTCCGCCCGGCGCCGCCTCACAGGTGAGCTTTGTCACCTGTGACACAGGTGGCTGCCTTGGCCAGTTGCTCATCCCCCATCGTCCATCTGTCCATCCATCCAGCCATCAGTCCAGCCACTCACCCATCTGCCCATCCATTCATCTACCCATCCATCCATCCATTCACCCACCCATCCGTCTGTCTACCCACACACTGGTCTGTCCATCATGCACCTATCCATCTACCCATCCATCACCTATCCAACTATCTATTCACCTCTCCATCCATCCATCACCTATCCAACTATCTATCCATCTATCTGCCTACCCACCCAGCCATCTGTTCATCCATCTATCCATCCCTTCATCCCCAGGGAAAGTAGTCCTCCATATTTAATTTCCCAGCAATTGTATGAGAATCTTAGTTTTGGGGAACTTATTTCATATATTTTTATTTTACTTATCTGAGTATACATGCCACTCTCTTACAGCCTTTGGAATGTGAGGTCCTGGAGAGCCCTGGACCATTTTGTATTTGTCTCCCCAACACCCTCCCCATGCCTTCTTCAGTGCTTTGTCAATAGTGTGATTGTAGAATGAACTAATGAAATGATAGATTTATGCCTGGTCAACTTATTTAGCTCTTCCCACTTCTCAGAGCTTTCCCAGGCTTTCTTCACAATATCTTTTGAAGTAAGTAAGATGTGTTTATATCTATGTATGTATATGTGTACATATATATACACACACATATATATACCTAAACATACATATGTGTGCATATACACAGATACATATATGTGTATCTAATATGATGTATACATTGATATATATAAATAGCTATCCCCAGAAGGGAAATTGATTTCCAGAGAAATGTGTGACTTGCCTGGAGATCACATCTAGTAAGTAGCAGCTCAGGAACTAGAGGACAGGCCTCCTAACTCCTACTTCAGGGTGTAAACCTTTGAGGAAGGTGAGAACCTAGGGTAATAGGGAAAAGGAAGGAAACAAGCATTTATTAAGTGCCTGTTCTATGCCAGGCACTGTGCTAAGTACAGATATCATTTCATTTGTTTCTCACACTAACCATGTAGATGTTGTTATTATTCCCTTTTACAATTGAAGAAACTGAAGTGGACCAAGTTAAGTGACTTGCACAGGGTGATAGCTGATAAATGTCCAAGGCTGGATTTGAAAGGAGGTCTTCTTGACTGAGGTTCAGTGCTCAATCTGTTGTGCTACCTAGCTGAAAAAGATGAGTATCTGAAGCAGAGACATGCTGGGCCACTGGATGGAGATATCTTGGTAGAGAACTTTAGCCTCTTTATAGATATATCAGACTCTAGATATCATATATAGATAGAGATATATGAGACTGAAAGCAGTGTAGCTGATCTTTCTTTTTCTCTCTCAAGGCCAGCAGGTAGCCATCAAGAAGATCCCCAATGCTTTTGATGTAGTAACCAATGCCAAGCGGACCCTCCGGGAGCTGAAGATCCTTAAACACTTTAAACATGACAATATCATTGCCATCAAGGACATTCTGAAGCCCACTGTGCCCTATGGGGAATTCAAATCTGTGTAAGGAATAGAACTGGTAGGGTGGCTTTTGAGGTTAGAGTCAGTGTAGTATCTTAAAGTGAGGAGCATAGTCCCTGAGTTATAAATGTATAGATGAGTGTCATGGAATAGAGGTTGTCAAGACACTTTGACCCAACAAATGGCAGTTAGAAAAGACAGATTCCTGTGATAGGCTATGAGGCATTTTCCAAGGGAACAAGTTCCTGATGGTCCCAGGAAGAGTTAAACTGTAGATCCTCCTACAGGTCCACTGGGAAAATAGCTAGTTACTCTTGGGGGAATCTGATCCTGGAGATAAGGACTGAGGTAGAATGATGGGTTGGGAAAGGAGAACTAAGTGCTGCTGTGCCTAAGTCTTTTTACTTTTTATCTCAGTTATGTTGTCCTGGACTTGATGGAAAGTGACCTACACCAGATCATCCACTCCTCTCAGCCACTCACCTTGGAGCATGTACGCTACTTCTTGTACCAGCTGCTTAGAGGACTTAAGTATATGCACTCAGCCCAGGTGATCCACCGTGACCTCAAACCCTCTAACCTGCTGGTGAATGAAAACTGTGAGCTGAAAATAGGTGACTTTGGCATGGCTCGGGGCCTTTGCACTTCCCCAGCTGAGCATCAGTACTTCATGACAGAATATGTTGCCACACGCTGGTACCGTGCCCCTGAGCTCATGCTCTCCTTGCATGAGTACACACAGGCCATCGACCTGTGGTCTGTGGGATGCATTTTTGGAGAGATGCTGGCTCGACGACAGCTCTTTCCAGGTAAGAACTATGTCCACCAGCTTCAGCTGATCATGACAGTGTTGGGGACTCCATCACCATCTGTGATCCAGGCTGTAGGGGCTGAGCGAGTACGTGCCTATATTCAGAGTTTGCCTCCACGCCAACCAGTGCCCTGGGAGACAGTATACCCAGGTGCTGATCGGCAAGCATTGTCACTTCTGGGCTCCATGCTGCGCTTTGAGCCTGGTGCTCGGATCTCAGCTGCAGCTGCCTTGCGCCACCCCTTCCTAGCCAAGTACCATGACCCTGATGATGAGCCAGATTGTGCCCCACCTTTTGATTTTGCCTTTGACCGGGAAGCTCTGACCCGTGAACGAATAAAAGAGGCAATTGTGGCTGAGATTGGTGACTTTCATGCCCGACGTGAGGGAATCCGCCAGCAGATCCGTTTCCAGCCCTTATTGCAGCCTGTGGCTGGAGAACAATGCTGCCCTGATGTGGAGATGCCCAGTCCCCGAGGACCTGGTTCAGATTGTGCCATGGAGTCACCACCTCCAGCCTTACCTCCCCCTGGACCTACATCCAACACCATAGACTTGACCTCCTCTCAGCCTCCTCTACCAACTGGAGATCCAGCCCCACCTAAAAAAGAAGGAGCTATCTCAGACAATACCAAAGCTGCTCTCAAGGCTGCCTTAAGGAACCGGCTTAAAGGTGAAAGAAGGAAGCATGGGTAGAGATGGGTGATATGGGTGATAGAATAGAAATGAGCATAGGGGTGGGAGAACCAGTTGCAGAATTCGGTGGTGGTGTTGGGTATAGCTATACCCCTTGGGCACAGCATGCTCCTTATTTTCCTCCCCTACTGTCATGCAGATGGTCCCAGTGCACCCCTAGAGGCCCCTGAGCCACGAAAGCCAGTAACAGCCCAAGAACGGCAGAGGGAGAGGGAGGAGAAGAGAAGGCGGCGACAGGAACGAGCCAAGGAGCGAGAGAAACGACAGAAGGAGAGAGAACGCAAAGAAAGGGGTGTAGGGGCAGGGGGTGGTCCCTCTGGTGATCCCCTGGCTGGGCTGGTGCTGAGTGACAATGACCGAAGCTTATTAGAACGTTGGACTCGAATGGCCCAGCCTCCGGCTCCACCCCCTGGACCAGCAGCACCTACCCCACCACCCCCTGCTCCTCCTCCTGGACCTGCCCCTCAACTTACGGGACCCTCTCCACTCCCAGCTACTATTTCATCTGGTCTCCAGGCCCCAGTTACACCCCTTCCGGTTCCCCAACCATTGGTTCCTCCTCCTAGCCTTCCTGGCCCCACCCCTGCAGGAACCATGCCTTACTTTCCACCTGGCCCACCACCATCAGATCTAGGGGGATCCCATCAGGCTCCCACTTCAGAGTCACCAGATGTGAACCTGGTGACTCAGCAGCTATCTAAGTCACAGGTAAGGAGAGAGATTGAGAAGTATCTTGGTTAAGGCCATGGCAACTAAGTTAAGTCAGCACACCTTGAGTGTGATTTAAGATTAGTAGAAAGGGATTGAATTTGAAGGTAGGATTTGGGGTTCCTTTGGGTTTTCTTGGAAAGGTATAGTGAAGATAAAGGAAAATTCACGGGGTATGTCTACAGAGATGTGGATATTCTAGTTAGTTCAGGAGTAGAGATGGACATGGGTTCTTCACCGTACTCTTGAAAAGAGAATAGATTATAATAACCACCTGAACTTTAGTCTGTCTCCTTTTCTCTCTACAGGTGGATGATCTACTGCCTCCCGTTTTCTCGGGAACCCCAAAGGGCAGTGGGGCTGGCTATGGAGTTGGCTTTGATTTGGAGGAATTCCTCAATCAGTCTTTTGATATGGGTGTGGCTGATGGGCCTCATGACAGGTGAGTGAGGATGTGGCTTGAGAGAGAATTGAGAGGTACAAGACTAAGAGATGGAATCTTAGAGAATTGGGCAGGGACTCTAAGGCAAGGATTCTTAATCTATTTTGTATTACTGACTGCTGCACAGTCTAGTGGAGGCTATGGATCGCCTCTAAGAATAATGTTTTTAAATATAGATAGATCTCACCTTACTTAAATTCACATTACATAAATTTGACTCTACATAAAGAATTCTGAAAGAAATCTGCATTCCAAAAATTATGAAAACTCCTTATGCAAAACAGATGCTGTACATACAATAAGATGAACTAAGTATGTTATGGGCAGCATAAATGGTGGTGGGAAGCTGAGAAGCATCTCTTAAGTCAGTTCCTATGAGTCTGCAGACAGTGAGTGATACTGTGCCTTTCCTTGTATTCAGTAGTTATCCTTATATTTCCACCATGGCTGGCAGCAAACATGCTCTTGAGGGGAAAAGTGAGCCGTCTGGTAAACGTAAGCCAATAAAATTGGAAATGAAAATGAAAATAATTAGAAAATATGAAGATGGACAAAAATTGTCCTTGGTAGCCCGTGAACTTAGTCTTGCAGTGTCAACTGTGAACACCATTGTGAAGGCTGCTTCTTGGATAAAGGAGCACGCAAAAGGCATGCTTGCATTACATTGACTTACCTGCTGAAACAATGATGCTATTCTAGAAATGGAGAAACTATTAACTGTGTGGATAGAAGATCAGACTCAGAAGAATATTCCTTTAAGCTTGATAAAAAATTCAAGCTAAGACTCGAAGCTTCTTTGAAGATTTAAAGGTAAAGTAACCTTAAGGAACACAAACATTAACAGCAAGCAGTGGTTGGTTTGCACGATTGTAGATTTTCATAATGTACCAGTGTCAGGAGAAGCTTCTAGTGCAGATATTAAAGCAGCAAATAAGTCCTCAGAGTTCTTGCAAAAAATAATACATGGGGGCAGCTAGGTGGTGCAGTGGATAGAGCTCTGGCCTTGGAGTCAGGAGGACCTGAGTTCAAATCCAACCTCAGATACTTGATACTTAACTAGCTGTGTGACCCTAAGCAAGTCACTTAACCCCAATTGCCTCACCAAAAAGCAAAAACAAAACAAAATAATAGATAAAGGTCCCTCCTTGTTAGAGCAAATCTTTAATGTAGATGGAACTGGCCTATTTTATCAGAGAATGCCATCTTGAACCTATATCTCAGTGGAGAAAAAATTATATCGGGGCATAGAGCTTTGAAAAATAGAGTAACACTTCTGCTGGTTGACAGTGCATCTGGGACTTAACAAATTAAAACCTGTTCTTGTGCACCCCTCAGAAAATCCTAGGAAATTGAATCAGCAAGGCAACCCACATGTGCATTATTTCACTAACCCTAAGATTCCCTGAGATAACCCCTATCATCTTTGAATAACTGTTTTCTCTAAGTCCAGAAGTTTTATAATGATAATGTCATTCCTTTCAAGATTCTACTTATTTTGGATAATGCCCTCGGTCACCCTACCCATCTGGATGATTTTAATTTAAATGTAGAAGTAGTATACATTCCCCCTACCACTACCTTACATTTGCCCACGCAATTGCAGTTTTGGATGCAGATAAGGACTTGACATTGAGAGATTTCTGGAAGTCTTATAATATTTACTATGCAATTCTGAATATTGCTAAGGCATGGGAAGATGTAACAGAAACATTTATGAAGAGAGTTTGGGGAAAAAAAAGTGTGGGGAAAAAAAAGTGTGACCATAATTCATTCTCAATTTTTGTGGATTTGAAGAAGTAACAAGATTGTAAAGTTAGCATAAGAATTGGAGCTAAAAGTGGATGAGAATGATGTAAAGCAATTGATTGAGTTTCATGGAGAAGAACTGTCAGATGAGAATCTGATTGAGCTGCTAGCTGCAAAGATTGTAGAAGAAAAGAGGGAAGCTTCACACTGTTGTCCAGCCAAAAAGGTTCACAGTGAAACAGTTGGCAGAAGCATTTTATCATTTGAGTGAATTTTTTCTTGTATTGAAAAGATGGATCCAAATACTTCAATATTTTTTAAAGTTCAAAGACTAGTTGAAGAGAATATTGCTTGCTATTGTCAATATACAAGGAAAAAAAGAGAGTCATTGTCCAAACATCTTTCGATAGTTTCATAATAAAAGCTGCACAGCCAACCACTAGTGATAAAGGCTAGGTGTAGTGGGTGGGGAAGGAGCAGCAGACTGCACGCCTATGTTAACTTTACAGTACTGTGCCTACTTTATCATTAGCTTTACCTTTCATTTTATAATTCTGTTTGTTATCATGGCACAGTATTTAGTATGTCTGCACTTTATGACTTTTGTAAGTATATTATTTTGTGTATTTCTTTGTTATATAGTTAAGTGAAGTGGGTGGGTAGGGGCAAATTCACATTGCCTAAAAATCAATTTACATAGAGATTTGTGGAACAGTCCACTTACGTAAAGCAAGAACTGTGTGTATATAAAATAAAAATATATAAGATTACAAAGGAAATCAATTATATTGATATAGAGTTCTCAACATATAAAAAAAAAAGATTCACTGACCCAGGTTAAGGACCCTTACTCTAGGCATGGGATGCAGCTTGACCTTGCTGATTAATGTTCTGTTCCCTTTTCTGCTGTCTTCTCTTCCTGCAGCCAAACAGACTCGGCCCCATTGTCAGCCTCTCTGCTCACTGATTGGTTAGAAGGGCATGGGATGAACCCCGCTGACATTGAGTCTCTGCAGCGTGAGATCCAGATGGACTCCCCTATGCTGCTTGCTGACCTGCCCGATCTTCAGGAGCCCTGAGTACCAGGCGCTAAAAAACCAGGCTCAAGCTGGGAACAGGGGAACAGGGTCTTTCAGTTTAGGTCGAAGGCAGGATCTAGGAAGGAAGCCCCAGAAGACTGAAAATTCATGTTTTGATGGGGAGAATAGGAGCACCAGTTTATTCTCCAGATTCATCTCAAATTCACCCTGCAACTTTAGGGGTAAGCCTCAGTATCCATAAAACTCTGGGGAAATTAGAAAGGCCCAGGAACTTCTATTACCTGTCACTTTTCAGACACTTCTCTGCCACTTCCAGTATTGACTTTTTTTTTTTACATTCTTATTGTTGTGGGACCAGTGAAATATAAGATTGATCCTTACTTCTGTCTCCAAGTGTCATTTTGGGAATTGAGGGAAACATTTGAAAGGGCGAACAGTGGGAGAGCAGGATGCCTGGTCTTAGGAGCCATTTGAAAGTCTAGCAAATTCTTTCAAGCCATCAACAGAAGAAACAGTTTCTTTAGATTGGGTATTCCTGTAGGTTTATTGACAAATTGTGGCTTCCACTTTGCTGTCTTTGTAGCTAGTCTACTCCTTATCCTATCTCTCTCTTCTCCACTTCGTGCTCCCAGCAAACTGCTGTAGAGGTGGTTTCTGTTCTCCTGTCTGAAGGACACGATCTGAAGGGGATGTAGGAGCTGCTGACTGGGAGTAGACTTAAAGTATTGTGGTAAGATAGTTTCACCTTAACAACGATCCATTTCCTTCCCACCCTCCTTCCTTATATTTGCCACTAAAATGCACTTGATTAGATGGGGTGGGATGACTGGACTTTATGCATTTTTATCAATAGTGTGCAATATAAATTGGGAAATAGAACAGAAAGCAACTAACTAGCTTTGAGGGAATGAAGGAGGTTAGGCACAGCTGGTACTGGAGTGTGGCCCTTTCTGATACTCACCTCTGAAATGGAATATGGTTTCAGGAAAGGAGAGGGTAGGAGAGTTGTCAGCCATTATATATAAACAACAGAGTAGAGTTGGCTCTGCAGTGGGACATAGCGACGACTCATTATGACAGCACGATATTAGCTGGCCCTGGAGTGAAGAATTGACAACTAAAGAAGACTGCCAAAGGCAGCTGGCTCCAGGTCGGAATTTAAGAGACCACAGCTAATGAACTACTGACTCTTTGGTGACCCCTATGACAATCATATTCCTAAGTGACAAAACAGCCATTTCTGGGGTAAGTATGTAGTCATAGCTGAGTATGATAGCCAAATGAAGCTGGTTTCTTAGATAGTCTATGGGCACAATTTATTAGAAAAAATCTGAGGGCATGGTTAGTAAACAACTGTATTTAGATGGCAAAAGGTTAATGGTTCATTCAGCCTCTTTAGGGAAGGAGCCACGTTGTAGGTAATGAGCCTTAGGTTAGATGTGGTGGTATTAGCTGGATGTAAAAATAAACTAGATCTGGGGTAGGGTTAACAGCATCAGAATAATAGCAAAATTTTGGTGGGTTTGGGTTTTTTGGTCTAGACATGTACTTTCATTGATGTGGGGGAATTGCCTGTAAAGAAAAATCTCATTCCCGTAAATAGATAATTTATCTGGAGTTGTGTCAGAGAGAGTTGTCTTTGGACACAGGTTCCATGACTTAATCAGGATAATCTAGGTAGTATGTGTTAGAGAGAAGACTTGAACCCAGATCTTCCTAACTCTAAGGCTGCCCTGTATCCAATACACCACTCTCCTCATTGATATCTAGGCATAAAAATGAGTTAGATCTAGGTGGGACTGACAACAGCTGAGTAAAAGGCAAAGGCCATTAGCTTAGGAGTCAGAAATAAGTACTAACTGACAAATAGCAAAAATACAAGGGTAGGGGAGTCAATAGAAAAATGAATAGCCACAGAAGCCAGTAACTGAATAGAGAGCTGGGTGAAAGATGGGAATGAGGGCTATAATTGTTACATAAAGGGGTGCTGCCCTCAGACACGGCGAATCTTCATTTCAGTACGCTTAAGGGAATAATAGAATCCTTTCCACTGGGCCCAATTGATACCATTGGCATAGGAAACGTGGGTCCCCCCAAGATAGAAGCCATTGAGATTGGCAAAGTGACAGCTCCGGAACCAGAAGGCTCCGGATGAGAGTGCTGCACAATTCTGCACAAATTGGTCCTGGTCCTTGTCAAAGGTGGAGAATTTCTGGCCACTGTGGTAGGAAAGAGAATCACCTGGGAAGAAGGGAGGAGAGGAGAGTACAGGTTGGGGAATTGATTGTGAAGACTGAATGGATATGGGTGGGGAGTGACTGTAGTAGAATATGAAAATGAGATCTACATAACATGGCAAAGTGGGGGCAAGGGGAGGATAGCTGCCTACCCCACCCTTACCAGATGTTAGACAAATGTGCCTTCGGAAATTAAGAGAAACATCTGCTCTGTGATGGGGGAGAGGAAAGGAGAAGGCTTGGAGCAAAGCTGACTATAGCTTCCTTTTGGTGCCAAGGCTGAGGCTGAAGTTTGGCCCTGGCTCAGCTGTGGATTCTGCCAGATATGGGAGGGGAAGATGGGTGGGACCTTAGAGGGAATGCGAGGGCCTCAGGCTTGGGGACCAGTCTGGTAGTGCCAGCTTCTATTCACCTCTCCTTCCCGAGGGCCTTTGTTTCCAAGTTTCTAAAACTGGGGAATAGCAGGGAAATGGCCAAGAGGGATGGAGAGAAAGTTGAATGTTACCTGCTCCCCCGTCTTCAAAACCAGTTACATAGAGAGTGTAGCCATCTTCCTCTGCGTTGACAGCATTGGGGGAAATAGAGAATTCTGTGTACTTGGCATAGGCTGTATTGTTCTCAAAGTCTTCCAAGTCTACACGCAGCTCATACTTTTGTTTCAGAGTCAGGAGGTGGATGTTCTTTAGCCCTAGAAGGCCAGGGGAGGTTAGGAGCCAGTCAGTGTTCCAATGCCCCCACCCTAGAATTCAAGTAATCAGTCCTTGGCTGTCTCTCAGCCTCCACACCCTTCCCAGACGTCTGCCCTCCAGGCCCCAGTTCTCTTTTCACCTTACCCAGCCAGTACTCCCCATCAGCTCGACCAAAGCCCAGCTTGTAGTCATTCCAGCCCCTGAAGAAGCTGACGGAGCCATTGAATCTCTTCTGGAAAACCTGGAGCCAAGAAAGTGGAAAGCTGGACTGGGAAAAACCTAATAGGGGGTAGGGAGTATGGGTATTGTTTGGACTTGACTGATACTCCTTGAATCAATTCCTATTTTCAAGTTATTCTTCTCTTACAGGTCCCTCCTCAAACAGCCTCTTGTTCTCTCTACTAAGTGCCTCTCCTTTCTAAGGCTTTCCTCTCTTCAACCCAGTTTCCCTGAGCTTTCTTCTTATAGAATTCAAGAGTCAGAGCCAAAAGTGATTTAGAGCTCATCTAGTACAATTCTCATTTTATAGATGAAGGAATAGGGATCCAGAGCAATTAAGTGACTTGCTTAAGATTACGCAGCTTAGAACTGCCGTCTCCACTTCTAGTGTCCCTGCGCTGTGACAGTTCAGCAACTCTCTGTCTTACCGTCCATTTGCCCTCATCAGTGCTCATATCACAGAAGACTGGCACAGGAACACTGGGTCCTGAGGGGTAGATAAGGTAAACCCCATTGGTTCGGTAACCCTGGGCATAGATGTCATCACAGTCCAGGGGCTGCTGAACACAGGGCTTTTCCAGAGCTAAGAGACAGAGAACAAAGAACATCAGTTGCTGTTTTCTGGGTTGAACTAATTTTCAGCCCCCACCCTGGTTTTCTCTGGGGGTGGAAAATCTTGCTTTTGTATAGTTCCAAAGAGCTAAAAGAGATCATGTTTTGCCACTGAATGTACTGAGGCACAGACTTCCTCAGCTAGTCAATGACAGAGTTGAGATTTGAACCTAGGTCTCTTGATTGCTAGTTCAGTGCACTATCTCATTGTCTACTCCTGCTGTCCCTATCACTCTCCCAGCACTACCGTCTCTACCCCTAACCAGGTGCTTTCTAAGTACCTGGTTCAGAATTGTCTCCACCCATCCTGTCCCTCTCATTCAGAGGAACGCTTTCCCCGGCAGCCCCTTGGCCTCTTTTCTGTTCCCAAGGGATTGGGATGTGGATGTCCCCGGTTAGCAGCTTACCATCTCCTCGGATTCCAGAAGACTGGGAGGAGCAGTAGCGAGTGTGAAGGAAGAGGAAGAGCAACAACAGAGAGACCTGGAGAACATAAGATAAATGGTTACATATACAGGGTCCCAGAAGTTTCCAACATCAACCCTAAGTCAGTTCAGTGTTTTAAGACTGTTGCTTGAGAGGCAGCATTGTTGCCCCCCACCGAGAAATTTCCTTCCTTTGACTGGAGCTCATTTCCAAAACCCTGATACCGCTGACCAACTTACCATGCCCCTAAGTGATAAGGCCTCCCACCCCAAATTATAAGGGGAAACAACTAGTTCCCACCACTCTTAAATCTCCGTCTAGCATCCTCTGTATTCTCTCAGTTGATTGTACCCATATAAAGGTAGTCATTTCTAATTGTGTAAGAGCCTCCCTTGGGTGACAGATCCATTCTAAGCCATAATAGCGGCCTATCTGGTAGGAGATTTCTGCTCTGGGGCCAAATTTTTCTCCCAATACCTTCATGTTGTCCGCTCAGCTCCGAGGCTGTTCTCTCTCTGCAGTGCTGGGACAGGACAGAGTTATTTGTCTGAGCACCAGCCAGGTCTTCCCAGATCCCTCTCCCCACCCCCTTGTCTGCAATCTCCCCCTCCCCCTTCTCTTACTGAAATAGGATCAGTTTACACTAGAAGGAGGAGGGGGTCAGGGGTGGGGGTGAGTGGGAATGGGGCCAGTGGGACACCTGGCTCTCATTACAGACTGTCTGAGAAAAACCACAGCAGACGTTAACTCATTGCTGGACCCAGCGTGCTAACCCCCCAACCCATGCATTGCCTTGTCGTACTCCACTTTCCTCTCAAGTTAGAGATGCTCTGATCTCCTTGTTCCCAGCTTATCAATCCAGTTTCCACTTCCTGCTCTTGCTCCCAGCTATCCCATTTTAGCCCTTTAAATTCTCTACATCCCTCCTCTTCCCAATGGTTCCCCCTGCAGGCATCTGTTTATTTTCTCTTCCTTTTTTCTGATCTGCATTTAATCAGTCATTTCTCCCCCCTGGGTTTTTGGAAGGATATGGAGTCTGATGGGGAGAAATGAAGGATTTGAGGTAGTATGCCTGAATTCTAGAAAGGCAAAAAAAATGGAGACTGTAAGTAAGGTGTCAGGGTTATATGAGGGGAGTGGAGATTGGGGAAAGACAGGATACCTAATTTGTGAACCCCTGTCTTAGGACTTACCTTTTGTCTCTTGGGAGCCTAGTAAGAATGAGTTGAGGAGGAGCAGACTGCAGGAGGTTAGAGGGTGAGTGAGGAGGGGTAAAAGGGGCTGAGTCCTGTTTGCTGGCTAAGCTGGGACATTTCTGAGCTGTGAGCACAGATTCTGTCCCCACTCCAGCCGCTCTGTCTGTCCCCAGTTCCAGCCAGCAGCACCCCCCACCTCCGTCTCCTTTCTGTGCCCAGTCTCTCTCTCTCTCATAGCTTTTTCCCCAGTTTATCCCAGTTAATCCCAGTTTACATGATTCCTCCATTTCTATCCATAATGATAACTTGTTTTGTGACCACTTTTCCCACCTCAGGTCAGTATCAGTCTTCATCCCTCCTGTGTTTTCTCTCAATCTCTTGGTCCCTCTGAATTATTTTTAAAATGATTTTCTTATCTCAGAAAACTCTTTAATGCTTCCCCATGGCTTTCAGGAACTTTTGCCCTATGAAGGGCAAAATGGCCAAGAGGGTGGTATATGGCAAGGATGTATGAGGACACCTGATGTCTGAACAGCCAGGGCAATCTCAAGTTTGCAGAGCTGGGTGAAGAGACTGAGATGAAGATAGCAGAAAATGAGAGGTTGGCATTGTATAAAACTGGCCCCAGCTAGTTTCAAAATGGAACTGGAGCTGTTGAGGCCAAATAAGAGTCTGCCCTGGAACTCCCAGATTCTACTGCAGAAGTTCAAGGCAGATCTGGGAGACTGTGCAGTGAGCAGACTCATTCCAAGAAAGACAGTGAAGTATGGGACCAGAAGTCAAAGCAATCCACTGCAAGAAAGCACCTGGAAAGTACATTCTGTAATAACTTGATTTTTAAAAAAAATGTTTTTCCAATTACATGTAAACACAATTTTTAACATTTTTTTTAAATTTTGAGCTCCAAATTTTCTCTCACTCCCTCCTCTCCTCCTTCCTTGAGAAGGAAAGTAACTTGATATAGATTATTCTTGTGCAGTCATAAACATTTCCATATTAGCCATATTGCGAAAGAAAACAAAAAAACAACAACACAAAAATAAAGTTTAAAAAAGCATGCTTCGATCTGCATTCAGACTTCATCAGTTTTTACTCTGGAGGTGGATAGCATTTTTCATAAGTCCTTTGGAATTGTCTTGGATTATTGTATTATTGAAAACAGCTATATTTGGCCATATATTGCTATTACTGTATACAATGTTTTCCTGGTTCTGCTCACTTCCCTTTGTATCAGTTCATATAAGGCTTTCCAGGTTTTTCTGAAACCATTGGATGGGTACTTGAATGCTGGATATACTTGGGAGAAGAGTGTTGGGTTAGTATGCCAAAAACTAAATGCGATTGAACTGGCTTCAGGAAATGAGAGGGATGAGAATAGAGGTCTTCCCACACTCCAAAATCTACCTTTCCTTGGTCTCTTCTACCTGGACTCATAGGGTGGGGGGTAATTTCCACATTGTTAATCCTGGCTGATACTTCAGGATGATACCTTTCCATCATTAATTGTTCTAGACTCTGGGAATGCAAGCTAAGTTTAGCATGAGCCTAAGAAAATACAATTAGGAAGGTAAAGCTGCTGCCCAAAACATCATACAGTTCATTCTAAAATCAAACATGAAATACTTTTGAACTCTTGCCTATTTGGAATTATTTGTGCCACTGTTTCTCTACTGAAGTCCTGTTCTTAAGTCTGGATTTCTCATTATGGTATGGTGCTGACCTTGGGTTCTTAAAAGCTATTCCAGAACTGTGAATAATTTAGCTATTCTCAGCAATACAATGATCCAAGACAATTCCAAAAGACTTATGATAAAAAACGCTATCCACCTCCAGAGAAAGAACTAGATGGACTCTGGATGCAGATTGAAACATACTTTTTTTTTACTTTATTTTTCTTTTTTCTTGGTCTAAGTTTTCTTTCACATCATGGTCAATATGGAAATATGTTTTGCATGACTATATATGTATATATCAAGTTGCTTGCCTTCTCAAGGAAGAGAGAGGGGAGGGAGACAGGGAATTCGGAACTCAAAATTAAAAAAAACCCAAATGTTAAAAGTTGTTTTTATAGTTAATTGAAAATATATAAAAATAAAATAAAAGCTATTCCAGGGGAGTGCTATGGTCTGATAAGTCTCTCCAAAACGCATTGGCTTTGAGATTGATCATAGAGCATGTCCTCAAAAGTCTTAGTATGGTTTTAAACTTTGGCCAGCTTAATGCGGTTTTAAGATTTCATAGCTTAAAACCACAGGGCAGCTAGGTGCTGCAGTGGATAGAACATCAGCCTTGCAGTCAGGAAGACCTGAGTTCAAATCCAGCCTCACACTAACTGTGTGACTCTGGGCAAGTTCCTTAACCTCCTTTGCTTCAATTTTCTCATCTTCCTCACAGAGTTGGACGTGACTGAAGAACTACTAAACAACAACAAAAGCTTAAAACCACACTAAGTCTTTTGAGACACCCTGTATGTTTGTTGTTCAAGGACCAGCCCACCTAAATTTTTATTTATTTATTTTTTTTGCTAGGCAATGGGGTTAAGTGACTTGCCCAGGGTCACACAGCTAGTAAGTGTTATGTGTCTGAGAACGGATTTTTTGAACTCAGGTCCTCCTGAATCCGGGGTCAGTGCTGTATCCACTGCGCCACCTAGCTGCCCCAGCCTACCTAAATTTGAAGAGGATCATCACCAGAAGACTGATTTTTGGTCCCTAACCCTAGAAGCCTCTACGTAAATGAGATCTCTTCCAACTGCCTCTAATAGCATGTATGCCAGGAAAGATGGAACTAGGGTCTGGAGGCAGAGAACTAGATGGTTCAGATCCATCTTGACCCTTGCTTTGGGGAAATTTAATAATATCCTATCAATAAAAAAATGAAAGCAAAACTTCTTTTCTTTGTTTTTTTTTTAGTTTTTAGGCAATGGGGTTAAGTGACTTGCCCAGGGTCACACAGCTAGTAAGTGTCAAGTGTTTGCTCTGAAGCCGGATTTGAACTCAGGTCCTCCTGACTTCAGGGCCAGTGCTCTATCTATTGCGCCACCTAGCTGCCCCCAAAAACTTCTTCAGGTTATCTTGATCCCCCAGCTGTTAGGAATCCAAGTGATTGGAAAGAGAAGCTCCTCTTTGTAGTTTACCATAATCTTCCTCTTTTGCCTTTGAGCAAATGAAATACAGACCAGCAATGCATTGAGTCAGCCATAGTTTTATCTTAATACTGACTTTTAGAGACCAGGTAGACAAATACAAAATAGACTCTAAAGAAGCAGAGATAAGTGCCCCTAAAAGGTTTTTCTGAAGAAAAAGAGAATAAGTTAATATATGGAAACATAGTCATGTGGGCTATCTCCCTTTCCCTTCTATCCTTACCCTCTCTTTCTTTTCTTTCTTAAATGGAAAGGCAACTGGATTTGGAGTCAGAAAACCCAAGTTTGAATCTTGGCTCTTCCACTTAATATTGAATGACCTTGACTAAGTTACAACCTCTGTATCTCAGTTTCCCCAGTTTTAAAATTTATAAATTGGATTAGGTAATCTCTGAGGTTTTTCTCTAGTTCTAACTCTTATTCCCTTTCTTTTCTTTAATTCTTCATTTTTTCTGTCTTCTCATTTTTTCTCTTCTAACTCCCCCCTTTTCTATCTTCTTTTACTTCAACAAACATTTATTAAGCATATACAATTGGCAGAACATTGTGCTAGGTGCTGAGACGCAAATAAATCATGGTCCCTACCCTAATGGTACTCACAACATAGTAGAGACAAGCCATACACATAAGATGTAATACAAAATGAATTAGGATCAGTAGAAAAGAAATGAAAAATAGGTGCTATGGGAGCTCTAAAGGGTAAAAGGTGGCTTGTTACTGTTAGGGAGGTGAGAGAAAGCTTTATTAAAGAAATGACATTTAAGCAGAGTCTTAAAGGATAGGTATGATAGCAAGCAAAGGTAGAAGTAGAGGGAGTAGTCTAAACAGTCACAGAGGGGGCATGGTTCATAGCACATACAGAGAATAGCAAATGATTCATTTTGGCTGGAGCATAGTAAACGTTAAGGGAAGCAGTGTGAGATAAAGCTAGAAATGAAGGATGGCACCAAATGATGGAAGGACTTGAAAGTCAAAATAGTTTGAACTTGATTCCTCTAACAGTGGTGGTGGTATACAGTTATCTGGCAAAAATTAGATGCACCCTTTCCATTTATCCCCCACAACCACTTTTTCCTATACCATATCTTAGAGTGTCCCTGCGTTTGAGGGGAAAGATGGTGGGGAAGGATGGGGGCTTTAAATCCGTTTTGAAGAGAAAAAGGGAAGCTTCTTCTGGCTTCTATTTACCAAACCTACTCCCAACACACTAGTTTCATTTGTCCCCAGGGTAATCCAGGATG